TTTGAGGTCATACTGCGTGCCAGAATGGGAATCAGTTATGGTTGTGTTTCTGGAGCCAGCCTGATCGTCCTAACACTTTGGGGGTGGGGAGGTTCTGGGTTGTCTCCATCACTTGGCTCACAAGAAGGCAGAGTCACTAGTTGAGGGGGCCGCAGGAAAGGCCTGGAGACATTTTTGCCTTCTGAGATTGTGGAGGAATTTTGGCCTTTGCTTTTAAGGATGGCTGTCATGTTTTGAGGTTGAGTGGATCCAGCTTTTCCACTGTGGCTCCCCTCTTTCCTCTGTCTCTTCCTGTCTCTGCATATGTATCTGATTATATGCATTTGTCTTTATTTATACCTGTGTATGTCTTTGTCTTTCGTCGTGTTTCTGTGTAGGACTCTCTATATGGTTTTCTCTCCATAGGTGGGAGTAAGGAAGAGGCCCTTCTGCCTGCAGGTCTCCCTCTGTTTTTGTCTCAATGTGAGCGTGGTCTGTCTCTCTCTATTTCTCTCTCCTCCCTCTTTCTCTCTCTCTCTCTCTGCCCCTCATCCTCCTCTCCCCCTCTGCATGAGTCTCCTTTCTTCAGATATTTTGTTTCTTCTTCCCCAACCCCTATCCCCAAAATAGCTGTACTCCACAAGAGCTCTGGATTTTTGTTCTCTTCTCTTTGCTACTCCCCAGACCAGCTGTCTGACCCAGGGATGGCTTTCATTCTGGAGGTTCTATTGCTGGAGTGATCACGCTTAATTTCCTGGTGCTCAGCTCCTTCCTTTTCTTCAGAAGGAAAGCATCCACGTCTGTGTCTGTCTGTAAATCTGCTCTTCTAAAACCCTAAAGAAAGTTACAAAAGGGACACCTGGGTAGCTCAGTGGTTAAGGGTCTACCTTCGGCTCAGGTCATGATCTCATGGTCCTGGGATGGAGCCCCTCATCAGGCTCCCTGCTCAGCTGAGAGTCTGCTTCTCGCTCTCCCTCTCAGTCTCTCTCAAATAAATAAAATCTTTTTTTAAAAAAAGTTATAAAACGCTTTCTTCAATGTCAGTGCATAAGTCCCGCTAAAGACTAGCATACAGTCTTCATGCCAACCTTTCTCATCTTCCTGCTCTCTGATTTGGTGGAGGGCAGGTGGAAATAGCAGGACTGGTTTTAGGGTTCCACTCCTTGCTTCTGTCCTCACTCACTGTGTGACCCTGGGGAAACATGCTGACCTCTCTGAGCCTCAGAGCCTGATAGTGCATTCCTCCCAAAGCCAAATAACACCTCCCCACCCCCACCCAGCAGCACTGGTGGTGTATAGCAGGCCCTTGAGTGACATCAGCTCCTCTGGACCAGAGCAGCCACCCCTCTCCAGAATGGGTTCCTTCCTTCTTCCGTCCTTCCGTCCTTCCTTCATACATTCATTCAACAACCTGGCAACAGACATCCATGGCTAGAGAGCACGGGATGATCCCAAAAGCCCCATAAGCCTCAGTCACTAAGAACTCCAGATCATTGTTACCCAGAGGTCTCAGGGCAGGGATGAGCAGTATTATCTGAAGGCCAGCAGGAGCCCCTACAGAGTTAACTTCCTACTAAATACAGTATCGTAGGGCACGTCTAGGCCTTTGAAAAGTCACCCAGTGAAGTTCAGGTACACAAATACTCGTTGTTTTTAAACATTTCTCCCTTTGTTTGATAAAGAGTCTCCAAGGGAGGTGAAGAGAGGCTGTAGCCAGCATGCTGAAGATCAGTATGCTGCCTTTGGGCTGCAGTCATGGGAAGGATAATATAAGCTTTTCTTCTACCTTATTATCTTTTTACTTTAGATTCTCACATTCCTGTCTATTCATAATCCATTTGTGAAATCAGGCTCACATCCTACATGTCTCTGAACTCCAGGCTTTGTCCAGGGCTGGCATGTGGGAGGTTTTAAGGATGCTAGATGGGTGAGTGGGTGGATGGATGGGTGAGTGGATGGATGCATAGATGAATGGATAGATAGCTGCATGAGTATTTAAAGGGACTAGATACCCCCAGGCGTGCCCCTTTCATATAATCACCAGAAAAAGCCCACTGTATTTGTGATTGGTTTGGAGAGAAAATTAAAGGGTAGTTAGAATAACTCTCTCTTGTTGCTACCCAGTCTGTCTTCTACCAGAGTCAAGATGGTAATTATCCCCAGGATTGCAGCTATTGATTGAACAACCAAGGAGCCTAAGACTCTAGGATCCATCATGAGCACTTAGAGATGGGCTCAGGATCTTTGGGCTAAACTTTCTGAGATCTCTGTCTCTATAGGCAGATTGCTCACTCCTCCTCCACCTTCCAAGGGCAACCTGAACACACTTCTGTCCTAAAACAATTGACCTTTGTCTTCTGTTTTCCCCAGCTGGCTGACAGCTCCTCAAATGCAAGATTTTTTTTTCTCCAAATTTTATTTCTCTAGTACCTAGCACAGTACTTGGCCTGTACTATAGGCTAAGTTAATATTGCATGGATTGATGAGTTGATAAATAGTTGGAAGAGTGGAGGCATGGATGATTTGCTTTGAGGATGATGGGTAAGCAGATGGATGGATGGTTTTAAAGGTGATGAGTGGTTGGATGGATGGATGAATGGATGGTTGGTGTTCTGGATGATAAGCTGGTGAGTGCTGTGCTGGATGGGTAGCTGAGAGGTTTGCTGGATGGGTGGTTGGATTCCAATGGGTGGGTGATTGGATTTGGATGGACGGATGAATGAAAAGATGTGATTTTATTAGCCACCTAGAGTCAGCCTCTCCCACATCATATAGGGACCCTCCCTGCAGTTCCCATGATAGTCCTCCAAATGCATGCCTACCTACCTACAACGGCTAATTTACAGGGTATTTCATTCACAGGCAGAATTGTTACAAACTTTTCCAAAGTCTAGGTACGCTAATGTAATATTTATTAGTGTTTAAGGGCATCGGCTCTGGAAATGGACCTGGGTTTGAATCACAGCTGGACCAATTAAAGCAGTGTGACCTTGAAAAGACAAATTCCTTGGCTTCTCTAAGCTGTGTTTTCCTCATTAGCAAAATGGGGATAATAACACTATCCTGCAGGGTTGTTGAGAGGATTGAGTGAAGTGATGGATGGCAAGGGCTGGTCAGTGCTCAGTAAAATGTATTGTTATTGTTATGAAACCAAAATGCACCCCTCCTATAACTTATTTCATCAAGAACCAGATGTGTGCCAGGTAATGTTATAGCCTTGTATGTTCGATGACAAACAAGACTGAAATAGTGCCTCATCTCTTGGCGTTGCTCTTCTAGTGGGGTGTTTAAACAATGAAAAGTGTAAACAGATATACAATTTCAGGTGATAAATGTTTTGCAAAAAATCGAGATAGGATGAGGTAGTAGAGAGGTGGGGACAGGTGGCATTTGTTGAGCTGTGAACTTATGACAAGAAGAATACAGCCATGCATAGATCTAGGGAGAGGGTGTTCTGGGCAGCAGGAATAGCTGAAGGCAGAAATGAGCTTGCTCAAGGAAAAGAAAGAAGGCCAGGTGGCTGGATAGATAGTAGGGCAATCCCGGTGCAGAGGTCTTCAGGAGGCAGATCACGCATGCTCTGGAGGCTGCACCATGTGATTTGGACATTAGCTCATGTTAGTTTCATCCTGTCCTCTGGAACAGCCTAGAAGGAGCCTTGTTCATTTGGCAGCTGTTCAGCTTTCCAGTGACAGCGACAGGCTCCGGATCTCCTGACCTCCAGACTAACCACTCCCACATCTCTGTTTTCCAACAGAGAAGGATGTTGATATACTGGGACACTTGCAGCTACCTCCTGACAACATTCTGAGTCTCATAAACCTAGAATGCAGAAGAAGTTAGGTTTGACCCAAAGGGAATCAGGCTGAAGAGAGACAGGAGATCTCCAGTCAAGATTGTATTGAATTCAGCCAATAAACCATGTGCGCCCTTGAAACTCCACCCCTGGAGTGTTTGCAAGGACCAGGGTGGTACAGGTGGCTCTGATATAGGATCTGGACTTTCAAAGAAAAGTGAGAGATGATGGTAGCTGACCTGCAGCCGGGCTGATGGAGTAACTCTCCAGGTGCCATTAGGATCCCATCACTCAGCAATGCTTCCTCTGTGTTGCCTTTCCTCTCAAGCAGTCTTTCTCCATGTGGGGATAAAAGGGTTCTTAGATCTTCCAGTTTCACATGTGCCAAAAAGGGAACCTCTCTAATCTGGTTGTTCCAACAAAAATCTAGAATTCTGTCTTCTGGGCTCATTAGCTTGGGTGGGTCACACATCCACCCCTGAACCACACAGAATGTTGCCAAGGCGATGCAGCACTCTGACTGGCCAGCCCTGAAGCTCTGTGACCTTCCCTGTCATTGATAATGGAGGGAGACCATCCCCATCCATAGGACCAAGGATGAAGGAGGGGGATGATGCCTCTCAAAATGCTGGGTGATAACTGTTTTCATTATGCCAGATGAGTAAGCTCAAGTGATCTTCTGTACAACATCGTGCTTCGAATCAACAATATTCTACTGTAAACTTAAAAATTTGAGAGGCTATGTATCATCTTATCTGTCCTTTCCACAATGTTTACCCAAAAAGGGATGCTATTAGGAGGAGAAGGGAGAGTGGATTCTGGGAAGGCAAAACCAGCTTTTATATCCTATGTTTCCCAGCTCAGAATTAACTGCTCCTGCCGCCACAGTTCAGTTCAGAGATCTCTCTCTTACACCTTGCATTTCCTCCTGCCTTGCTTGAGGGTTTAATACCTGTACTTATGTCTCCATCAGTTTTTTAAAGCTCCTTGGGGGTGGGAACCATGCCTTTAAGCACCTCAGGGTCCCCGACACTTGTACTAGGACACATGTAAGGGTCCAGGACAAGCTTGGTTAAGTTGGATTAGGTTTCCGGGCCCAAAGTGATGACTGTGCCCTTCAGATAGAGAAACCTCTGATCCTTACCCCCACCCCCCTACCTCCCACCCCCATCCAAGAACCTCTGATCCTCACCCCACCTCTCTGGTCTCTCGGGTTTTTCCCCAGGCAAAGCCAACAAGAACGTTCAATGGGATGAAGATTCTGTAGAATATATGCTGGCCAACCCCGTCAGAATCGCCTTCGTCCTGGTGGTCCACGGCCGCGCCTCCCGGCAGCTACAGCGCATGTTCAAGGCCATTTACCACAAAGACCACTTCTACTACATCCACGTGGACAAGGTGAGGACCCCCACACACACACCACCAGTCACCCTTTGTTGACTTTTTCTGTGGGTCTGTCTGCCTTTCTCTAAGCTGACATCCCTTTCAGGCAAGGCTTCTAGGCTGATCAGCGGCCTCTCCTTGGAGCATTCGGTCTAGGGTGGGGAGAGAGAGAGAGTGTGTGTGAGTTCGTGCACGCATGCATTTGTGTGTTGGTTTTAAAACTCCTAGCTGTGACTTTAGACTCTCTCTATATAAACACCGCTTTCCTTTCTGCTCCCTTGGCCAGGGCAGTGGCAGCCACTTGGTGAGGATGGCTAGCCCAGGGGTGGGCACACGTTTCCCGTAAAAGGCCAGGCAGTAAATATTTTAGGCCCTGAAGGTAAATGCCTTGTGCCACAGTGACTCAGCTCTGCCATTGTAGGGTGAACACAGCCCTGAGAAATACACAAGTGAGCAATGTGTGTTCCAGTAAAACTATTCACAACCCTGCAGCAAGGCCTACTGACGCCTGAGCTGTCTTGCCCAGAGGTCTCTGTCCCTATGCTGACCTGACAGGATTATGTCTTTGGTCAAGAAGGCAAAAGGGGAAGCTTGCTCGTGGCAGGCCTGTGAGAGGGTGATGGAGAAAATCCCACCCCTCAAAACACCCACCAGTTTTAGTCCCAGTCATACTTCTTAGCTTGTCATCCTGGGACCACATTCATCAGTCTTGTATGAAAAATGCAGAGTCCCTGGCACCAGCCCACACCCAGCAAACCATTAGCTGTGAGGTGGGGCTGGGGAATGTGCATTCCAAAGAACTAAAGTGAATTTTTTAAAATAATACGGTTTCAAATAGCGATGTAGAAAGTCAGCCCAGGCCTGAACCAGTTACTTGGCCAAGTCTGCTACATTCGACAGCCCCGTCAACTAGACGGGGAGGGCTGAAGAGGGGATGAGGGGCATGTCTGCGTGTGTCCTGTGCTGCTGAATGTCACTTTTTTCTCTCCCGGGCAAAGCGCTCTAATTACCTGCATCGGCAAGTGCTCCACTTCGCCAGACAATATGGCAATGTTCGTGTCACCCCATGGAGGATGGCCACCATCTGGGGGGGCGCCAGCCTCCTGTCCACATACCTGCAGAGCATGCGGGACCTCCTGGAGATGACCGATTGGCCATGGGACTTCTTCATCAACCTCAGCGCAGCCGACTACCCCATCAGGTAAGGCGGCCTGTGGGCCCCGGCCGGCGCGCTCCGAGCTCCTGCTCCCTCTGGCTTTCCTTAGCCATAGCTGCAAAGCCAGAAGCAGAGGCGTCTTGCCACCTGTCTGGAGAGGCATTGTGCCTCCTGAGACCCTGTGGAGGCCTGATGCATAAAGTCTTCCAGTATGGGATCCACAGTGGGCCTGAGTATGCAGTTTTCCCAGCTCTGTTCATGGGTATGCAGAAGAAACCAAAAGACCCCTGCCCATGTGGAGCTTCCATTCAAGTGGGGCGGGGGGGGGGAGGGTACAGAGAACAAACAAAATACGTAAAATGGCAAAGCGGTAAAGCAGTGGGTGTGAGACCCATGTGGATTTTAGATGAGGTGTGATCACTTCAGTGGTAAAGCAGCAAAGCTGAACAAAGCGGCGAAGAGAGTTGTAATTTTAAGGAGAGTGGCTGGGGAAGAAGTCCCTCCAGAGAAGAACACAAGGAGGAGGAGGAAGAAAGCTTCTCCGACTGGGAAAGCTGTCTAGGCAGAGGGAGCCGTGGGTCCTGTGGTGGGAATGCACCTGCTGTGCTGGGGGCACGAGGGGGCTCAGTGTGGCCAGAGTAGAGGATGTGACAGGTCAGAGAAGAATCCTGGGGTGAGGTCATGCTGCTTCTAGAATCTGGGAGCCACTGGCATGTTTGACTTGAGGCAGGACGGCATCCTACTTTAGGTGTTTGGAAAGGGAGCAGAGTGAGGAGGAAGGGAGGCCCATCCTGATAGCCTGGGAAGAGTCACAGACACCCATGTGTGGGCTGTGTGAGGCCCTCGGGATGTGTGTGTTTGTGTGTTTGCTCCCTCTCAACTTTAAACTGGCCAGAATTTTAAAATTGGGAAGTTTCACAGGAACTATAAAATGTGGAGCTGCTCTCTGGCATCTGCCCAGTGTGCACCTGTGGGCCGGGCCGTCAGCCACAATTGGGTGGAGCTGGTGGGGGGAGGCGGCCAGCAGCCTGGAGCGCTCAGCAAGTCAGACGCCACCAGGAGGGTCTGTCCCGTGGCACAAACATTGATCTGCTCTTGAAAATAGGCCGTAAGCAAAGGAAACCCCTCTAAAGATCTTATGGGGGGGGGAGGCAAGAAAATGAACTCTATTTCCTGCCAGAAGGCAACTCATTGCTTGACTGTGTCTTCCATCCTGATTTATTGGTGAGGGTAAAAGGAGAAGAGGATGGGGAGCGAAGGGCGGGGCCTTCCTTCCTCTGAACCACAGGAGGGCAGTGGGTGGGGTCAGCACTCCCATAAGAGCCAGATGAAGAGACATCTTTAAAGAAAAAATAACTTCTTTTTTTAATCAGGGCAGTTTTCAAGCAGACAGCAGAGTCCTCACGAGAGTATAGTGAACCCCCCACGTACACTTGACATGGCTGCAGCTCCAATCTGGTTATGGCCAGTACCAATGTATCTCCACCCTCACCCTCTTCCCCACTGTAACACTTCCAAGACATTGTGTCATGTCTGTAAGAACTTTAGTGCATCCCGAAAAGATAAGTTCTCTCTTCTAAGCTAACATCCATATCCTAAAATACTGTCATTCTTGGTGTCATCAAATACTGAGGCCACACATCCCCAGGAGTTTGGGTGTTGAATCAGGAACTAGATAAGAGATAGGCATGGAAGGACATTCTCTGGTTTATTTGTTTTTTGTTTTTTTTGTTGTTGTTGTTGTTTTTAAAGATTTAGTTTATTTATTCATGAGAGACACAGAGAGAGGCAGAGACACAGGCAGAGGGAGAAGCAGGCTCCATGCAGGGAGCCTGATGTGGGTCCTGGAGGGAACCTGGGGAAGGTGCAGTCTTTGGTCAGGCGAGGCAAGGTCCACCTGGCACCCTTGAGCCTGAGAAAGATGATGGTCATTAGAAAGATAGCTGTTTTTCTTTTGTTCAGAGGATAGCGAGGGTAAGCAGATTATGAAACATGGCTGGCAGATTTTTACTTATTTGCTTATTCATTTGTTCAGGTGCCCATTCCACAAACATGTGTTAAGCAACCCCTATGCTAGGCATAGTGCATTTAGTGAGCAAAAGCACCCCTGGTGTCCTCCCTGGTGGAGCATATCCCCTAGTTGAGAAAATAGAATTAAAGGTAGCATGCAAGGTGTGAAAGAGCTAGACCGTGAGGGAGTGAGGGGACAGGGTCAGGTGGTCAGTAAAGCCTCTGAATGCACAGTTTTGGCTTGAAAGTGGAAGGCTAAAACCAGGTTCTCAGGCAAATGAGAAAAAGTTCATTCTAGACCAGGATTTCCCCTCCGGGGCACTACTGACATACTGGGCTGGATGACTCTTTGGTGTGGGGACCATCCCGTGCATGGCAGGACATTTAGCAGCAGCCCCTGGGCTCTGTCCACTAAATCCCCTGGCCCCCTACTCACTTGGGGCAACCACAGATGTCCCCAGATGTTGCCCAGTGTCCCCAAGGGGCAAAATCGCTTCTGGTTGAGAACACTTCCTGAGAGAGAGAGAAAACGGTCTGGACGAGACATAGGTCAGAGACGAACTTGCTGCTTTTGGGAAATTTCAAAGTAGATGGAGCAGAATGAGCAAAAAAAATGAGGAGAGGCGAGTGTAGAGAAGCACAGGGCCGGGGTGAGTCCAGACGGGCTCCCTCTGTCTTCCAAGAAAGGACTGAGTTCACAGATTTCCCCGAACGCTGAGCGTAGCAGCTAATGAGGCCGACACTTCTTCAGCCCTCAAAGCCAGCCTGTTTTACCCAAGGGCAAACCGGTACCCAAGGTCATGTAAGAAATACGTGGCAGAGGGGACACGAGAACCAATTCTGTCTTGTTCCAAGGTTGGTGTCCTCTCTGCTTGAGGTTGGCCCTCAGGGGCGTCATCCAGGCCTGGAGTGGCAAGATGGCCCAGGCACCATAGAGAACACAGCCAGGAACAGTACCCCCCTCTAGCTGGGCAGGGTGGTGGTTGTACCTCCTGGCAGAAGGGAAGATCCTTGCAGGTAGGAAGGTCACTCGTGGTCCTGAGTCTGATCATTCCTCCTCTAGATCTCCAGTGGAGACCCCACAGGTCACCTCAGCCTGGGTCAAGTGGCGGCACCTGGCCAGAGACCTCTTGAGGTCTGGCGGGCATTCCTGTGCCCATGGCCCTCCCCAGGAGACTCACACCAACTCTCAGGGCTGCCCCTAGGGGCCCTGTGTTCATGTGTCGCCGCCCTGGACGCCTGACTGGTTCAGCTGAGCCCTTCTGCGTGCGGGAGGGTGGGTGCTGAGCGGCCCAGCAGGGGGCGTAGGTTCGAGTCCCAGTCCTGCCACTTCACTAGCCCTGTGACCGTCTGCAAGGAAATTCAGGCTTTGTGAAACCAGAATACGGTCCTAGGACCTAGCAGAGCGCTGAGCACATACAAAGTGCTCCGTAAACGTCACCTGTTCCTTCCCGAGCTGTATCCAAGGCTGAGGCCCCTGTATTTCCGGGGGGCCCGGAGATCCCTTCCTGACACCACGTGCCAGACCTTTTTTGGGTTTCAGAGATGAGAGTCGTGGAATTTTTAGCTTTTTGAGCTGAAGTGCTCCAGATCTCTCTGTGAAGAAGAGGCGCAGCCTTGGATACAGCTCAGGAAGGAACCGTCAGCCTGTCTTTCCCTCCCTCTGCCCCCACTGCTGTCATTTCCATGCTCTCCTGGTTCTTGTGCCCCCTCCACTCCGCCAGCCTTGTGGCCGGAGGCACTTTATGCATCAAGCACTGCTGGTTCCTCTTGCTTTTGTTTCTGTGAAGTTGCCCCACGCAAAAACATATGAATTTTGCAGATGAATGGTTTTATCCTGGGCAGCTCTGATAGGCTTTCACTTCCCATCTGCCCCTCCATCTGTAGCTTCCAAAACCACTACTTCTCCTGTCCCAGGGAGGATGAGCAAACTTCGGAGCCTGCTCAAAGGGGCAGGAGTGCCTAAGTCAGAAGTTTCTAAGAAGCTCTGAAAACGTAGGGGATTTCCAAGGGCGGAGCCCACCCAATGTGGCTGCTCTGAGCTGTTCTATGATTGGACATCACCTCCCGGTATCACCTTGCCCAGCTCTGACTGGGGGACCAGACTCTTTCCCTCTTAAGTCTTAAAGACTCACTGATCTTTACTGGCCACCAGCCTTGTGTGGGACCTGGATGCAGACAGCCTGGTTGCAGATGCTGAGCCACCTCCCCGGCCATGGGAACGGGTGCACGGTGCTTTCACTTTCTGTATCTCAGTGTGTCCACCTAAGAAAGGGACACGATGTTTAGTACCTATTTCATGAACATTAGGAAGGGTCAATGAAATAGTGTATATCAAGCACTTAGCACAGTGCCTGACATGCAGAAAGTACTGGATAAGTACAGGCTGTTACTATTGGTGGAATCACATGGGCTTCAACTGAGTTCCTCTCTTTTCTCCCTTTCCTCGTGGAAATACTAGCAAACTATTTCTTGGACTCACATCTCTCTTAAAAGTGGGAAAAGCAAAATTAGACTATGAAGACTGAATGTCTCAAGAAAAACAGGATAGAACCAACTTGCTTGGGAATGTGGAACACGGTCCTATACTTGGACTATGCAAGCTCCGTGTGTTTAAGAAATCCAGACCTTCCTGCTCCACTGTGACTTGACGCCCTGGCCCACGTAGGCTCTGGTTGGAATCGGTTATGCATTCAGTGCATGGATGAAAATTGATATTTTCAAACACTGAGATCCTGGTGCATCTTGAGTCATCAAAGAACATGATGGTTCTGTTGAGTATATTCTACTTACTAAGGCAGGAAGCTGCACTAGCTGACTTTGGTTAGATGGGCTGCAAGAAAGGACAAAACCAAGGCATTTCGCACTGTTGGTGTGGTTTGGACTCATAGTCACAGACACCACACAGGCTGTCCTTCACTAGGCCCTGTGTCTTAGGGCAATTCAGATGCAAAGGGAAGGAAGTGTGTGTCCACAGCCCCTACAGGGCTCATTTTCTGTCTGTCTGGTGTATAAGTACATGTGTGTGTGCATAC